CCCCAAAACCCCAAAACCCCAAAACCCCAAAACCCCAACTTTATAAAATAATTTTGAGGAATAGAAATATGGTTAAGAAAATCCTAAAAACTGTCGGAAATACTACGCTAAAGTTCTGAATTGGCCGTATCAGAGGCCTTGATATGTAAGTATGATTTTAAACTTGGCAAAATTTTAAGACTTTGAAAGACTCCATGACAATTTGGAATACTCTTTAATAAAAGATAAGAAATATCTTGTTTAGGTATCCTAAAACAATCAATTTTACATACAAAGGAAATGAGTAAGCTCGCCAGTGTGATCTTTAGAGAGTTCAAAACGGTCATTGGAGGGGTAAGTCTCTGAACTAAACCTTAGATAATTTCTCTGGGTATTCACATTATCATTATAATGTATACTCTCTCACTATTCAATATCATGATGGGTAAGAGTGTTGATAAAATCTGTAGCAAATAAAAATAGCTCGAAAAGTATTAACACCTCTGTTAAAAGTAAGTATCCAAGAAGATCTTGAAGTGTTATGTTTTCAGATCCTGGTATTATAATCAGCTTTATAGCAAATCTTTCTTGATCAATAATCTAATCTTCTTTATTCAAAATTAAATTAAATTAATATAATATAGATCTAAGAGAAGATACAGAAATTGTGAACCTTGAGTACCCTGGAGAATCTATACTATAGAAACACCACTTTCCAGTTTGCATTCACTGCACTGATTGATGATTCTCCGATTGATATAGCAGCATTTCCACAATATTTTACTCCTGAGGTAAATATGTACTCAAAAACAAAAAGTGAGCCATTTGTTTTGAAATCTTAATATAGGCCAGACCTTCCCTCAACAGACTACAGTCCCCTTCTCAAAATGTGGGGATAACTTCAAGTATTACAACCAGTCTGCAGTGAAGGATTTAGGAATAGATCAATATTATTGCCCTAACTCAAGAGATTTCAAAATTCAAGGCAATAGTCTGTCTAATGCATTTAATTTATTTGGCCTCGATCTTCTTAAATGAAATAGCACAACCAGCACTGTTGGATGTGAATCTGATGCGAACATAAACGACTTTATTAAGGAAATCGAAATTGGGATCTTTGTGGTATTTGAAATTTTCTAAAATTTAGGTTAGCTCATACTTTGATTTCGAAGATTATGATAGTCCTATCAAAACCTATCTCGACGATAGGTTTTTCTACAGACTCTTACCTGGCTACACTAAAGAATATTATGTCCGCATCCAGTAACCCTGTTGCTTATCTTACAGGAAGAACAGTATCGAAACTCAGGACAATTATTTTGCGTACAAGCCAGGAGGGGATGAAAGCGAGATTTATGAAATACAGGAAAGCTCACTTTTTAATTTTGTAGTTTAGCTAAAAATATGTTAGAAAATGTTTCGTCTTTTAGGACTCAGATTTTATGAATTATTCCTTAAGCAAAAATGTTCATCTCAGTTAACACTTATTTTAGACAATAGAGAATAACCTCTCCGTGGAGGGAGCAACTTCAAAGACTCTTTTATGTAAGCTAAAATGCCAAATTTAGCCGTACAATTTGTAAAAGATCCTTTCGCAAGATCCTATGACCGAGGTGTGTATACTATCCTTGCAGTAATCGGAGACATTGGAGGACTTCTAGGAGTCTTCATGGTAGCAGGTGGCCTAGTTGTTAACCTATTCTCAGAGAAACTGTTCTTCTATTCATTCTTGAAGAAAGTAATTCAAGTTGAAGAACCAATTGACAAGCAAGGTAAAGATATATATTATGTGTAGAAAGAGAACGCGGCTGAATTAGAGTCAGGGATGTAGGCAGAGTAAGGATTTCTGGAAGATATTGTTTGGTTAAGTTATCAAGATGGCTTTAAAATCCATTTATTTCCTCTCTAACAATAATAGGATAATATCAGGGGTTTTGGGGTTTTGGGGTTTTGGGG